TTGCTGTGAAAGATTGTTCATCATCTGGTTTGATTTTGGGGAGACATTTTTAGTATCGTTGCATGAAAGTAACGTTCACAAGTACGAGGCTTATTGGATTGGAAGATCTTTGTGGAACGTTTTTTCAAGTAACCAAGCTCCTCTTCCCTTATCTAGTGTATACAAGGCATGGTTGAATCCTAGAAGTAGAAGGGAACGAGTTGGATCACGCAACTTTGATCTGAAGGGACGTCTTGGAAGCAAGAAGGCGCCTTCTAAAGATCGTATAGGTCCGAGAACACAAAGAATTGAGTTTAAGACTCCTATAATGCCTAAAAAATGAATTATGTGAAAGGAAAGGGTAAGGAAATTAAATGATGGTTTACAAAGAGAAGCAATCGAAGAATTCTAAGAAAGGTGAAAGGGGTGAAAGTTTGACTAGGGGTGTGACGGTTCGGTCTACAAAAGACACATTAATGGTGAAAGTTGACCTAGTTTAAAAGAAGAAGAAGGTTCCTAAAGTGAAGAAGGATTAGATCAATATTGCTTAACTTATCTGATTTTTAATTTTTAATTTTTAAATAAGGCGTATGATGCCAATAACTGTATTCACATTTATTTCAATAATAATAACATATTTTTTTTCGCCTTAAATAAAAATTACATTGACTATTTTCTTATATTCGAGTCAAGAGGTCGGACGCAATGGAAGAATAATAACAATCGTCGAACAAAATTCTCAAAGTCCAGTTTTGCCACGTCACAGAAAAAATTCACCGCGTCACAATATAGAATACCGTGACGTGGGGATAATTGGCTGAATTTTTATGCTGGAAATCCACCGTGCCTCGGTGAAAACTGCCGTGACACAGTGAAATTGCAGCGGCACAACATTTTATTTTTGGAATTCCACTGTGCCACGGTGGACCTTTCCGTGACACGGTGAACATTTCCGTGGTGGGGGGGATGCTAACGTGGCAAGGCTTTTTTTTTCCGTGCCAAGGGGCATTATGTCGTTTGATGGTGGGGTCTGTCGTGGCGCGGTGGATTATGAACTGGCGCAATGTATGATTTTCTTAATTTTAGCTCCGTTTTGCTGTCTTGTGTGTTGACGGAGGAAGGATTTTATTTTTTTAAGTGGTCAGGCCCCCTTGAGGGGTTGCCTACGTATCCTAAAAAAGGAATCAGGCCAAACGTAGCTCTATCGAGTCATGAACCCATGCAACTAGGCATAAAATTTCTTGAGTTGATCCAAGTTGGTTACATCCTGGAAACCATTGCCATCCATGTCTACCAATTGTGCCGCTCCTCTAGACAAAATGGATTTAACAATGTTCGGACCTTACTAGTTTGGTCTAAATTTTCCCCTTGGATCTAACACATCTTTGCGAAGTGCCTTAAGCACCAAGTCACCTTCCTTGATGTTCCTAGTCTTGACATTTTTATTGAAATGTCGCGTCATACGCTGTTGGTAGGTTTGGACATGATGCTTGATATGATATTTGTTTCATAGTTATGTGCATTCGTCTTGGAAATGCGTCCCACTATCACTGATCATCTCATGAGGTACCCTATATCGGCATATGATATTTTTCTCAATGAATTGAGCTACATGTTTTGTCGTTAGCTTAACATATGAGGCAGCTTCGACCCATTTGGTGAAATAGTCGATTGCTACGAGGATGAACTCATGTCCCCCTATTCGTGGAGGCGTTATCTTTCCAATGATGTCGATACCTCAAGTAAAGAAAGGCCATGGAGAAGTATATGTGTAGAGAAGCGAAGTAAATACGCGTAGACTTGACACTTCATACATTTCTTGACGTATTCGTGACAATCTCTCTCCATAGTAGTCCAATAATAACCTTGTCGTTGAATCTTTTGGACTAACATCTTAGCATTCATATGCGTTCCACATATACCGGCATGAAGGTTTTCCATGGTTTTGTGTGCTTCTTTATTAGCTATGCATAAGAGATTTCTCCCTAGTGTAGTCATTTTGTGAAGTTCTCTCCTGATGAGCACATACTAGGAGGCTAGGAGCCTCAAAGCACGGAGTGCCCTTTTATCAGTATTAGGAGGGTATTCTCCCTTGGTCACGTAATTAAGGATATCTGTATACCATGGTTCTTCATCTTCTTCTTGTGCTTCTTGTTTATCATCAAGTGCGTGAACATAAGCCAGTTTATATCTTCTTTCTATGGTTAACGGCATTCTGATTGTGTCCGTTGGAAATTCGCACCATTGATGCTAATTTAGCCAGTATGTCGGCAAACTGGTTTTCTTCTCTAGGCAAGTACGTGTATTCCACTTCATCTAGTTACTCCGTGAGAGTTTCCAGATGAGCTTGATACGTAGCGAGACTTTCACTTCTCACCTTCCATCTCTTCGTGATCTGGTTAATGGTTAGTGAGGAATCACTGTAGATTCTGAGCTTTATAATTCCCAAGGCCACAGCTATTTCTAATCCCAAGATGCATGCCTCATACTCTGCGACATTGTTGGTGACATCAAAGTCGAGCTTCATGGAAATTGGGATATGCTCTTCATTGGGTGATACGAGCAAGACTCCTACACCACAACCTTTTTGGTTCGAAAATCTGTCAAAATAGAGCGTCTAGCTATCATCTTCGGTGATGAGTAGATCTTCGTCTGGGAAATCATACTCATCTTCTTCTTTCTCAACTTCTTCTAGTGGAAAATCTGCTAAGAAGTCAAAAACCGCAGAACCTTTGATGGCCTTTTGTGGTACAAATATCAAGTCAAACTGATCAAGGTTGACTATCCACCTTGATAATCTGCCATTGAGTGTAGCTTTTTTGAACAAGTACTTGAGAGGATCCATCTTGGACACGACATGCACTCTGTGAGTGAGCATGTAATGTCTTAATTTTTGTGCAGCCCACACAAGCGCGAGACACAACTTTTTAAGTGATGTGTATCGCGTCTCATGTCCTTGAAGCTTCTTGCTTAAATATTAAAACACATTCTCCTTGCTTTCGATCTCTTGTTCTAGCATTGCCCTTATCGTTTCTCTTGTGACCGTAAGGTACAGTGAAAAAGGAAAGTCAGGCATTGCTGGCGCTAGCACAGGTGGGTTTGTGTTGTTTTAATGAATACTACAAGAAGGGGGGGTTGAATTGTAGTATGAGAATTTAGCCAAACTTTTTCCGGAATTAAAATTAAGTTAGCTAAAGAAACTGAGAGATTAACTAAAGGAACTAAAGAATGCAAGAGAGATTTTACGTGGAAAACTCCTTGGCCCTAACAACGAGAAAAACCACGACCACTTGGGATTTTGGGAAACGAATCTTCACTATAATAGGGAAAATGATCCTATGACAAGCTAAAGACTCGAACTCAAGTTCCTCTACGAACTTGAGACCCTGAGGAACAAGTCACCCAACTTGTTACTCTTCTCTTCTCTTTTCTCTCTTCTCACTTCTCAGTTCTCTCTTCTCTTTCTCTTCTCTTTCTCTTCTCTCTCTTTATCATACACAAACGTTCACTCGAACTTCCCCATTCCCCACTTACAACTCGAAAGAAAAACAGACTCTAGTATAAGAACACTCTAAAGAACATGTGTGGAATTGACACTTGACTCGATTTGAAGCTTGAAAACTTATGTGAGCAAGGGTGAGTTTTTCCAACCGAAATAAATGGCTATTTATAGATCAACAAATGCTTTGGAAAATTCTCTTTGTGCAGCAACACCATTACGCCACTACTCATACCCACTAAGAAGATCATGTTCCTAGAATTAAGGAACCATGAACTCCTCAATGTGCAAAACCTTGACTGACATAGAACATGGGAGAGTAAGCCGTAAGTTTTGGAAAACATGGTGATTTTATTTTTTCAGAAGATATTTTCGAAAATAAGAAAAAAAAATAAAATCTTTTTGCACAAGATATTTTCGAAATTCAGAATAAAATAAAATCCCTTTCAAAAGATAAACGTTTTAGAAAGCAACCGTTTTCCTATAAACTAGCATGCACAATTTTATCTTTTTAGACCAATTCCACACAGATTTTTCGAGTGCCATTTAATATCTTATACTTACATAAATCCTAAAATATAAAAATATATTTAGTCTTCATGTTCTCTGATGAAGCTTCTACTCCGAGGCTTCTATTCCTTGGGAGGAACTTCTCTTCTCTAATGAGGCTTCTTCTCTAAAGCTTCTGTTCCCTGAGGGAACCTTCTCTTCTCCAGTCTTCATTTCTGAAGCACCAGTTCCTTTGAGGGAACTCTTCTATATGGTTAGCTTTGCTTTTGGCCTTCTTGTTCCTCATGGTATATTTACAAGACACTTCATTCACCTAGTCTTTGTAACTGAGTACACACTTAAACAATCAAGCACTTATTAGTTTGTAAGTAAGTGAGGTTGTGTCATCTTCAAAATCATTAAGTCTAACAATATTCCCCCTTTTTGATGATGACAAACAAACCAAACTTACTTACAAGGAAAAGAGAGATAATCCATTTTATTCCTAAAGAAAGGAAATGCAAAAACAAAATACAATGCAGAATGGAAACTAATGTTTAAGGAAATAAAAAATGCATAAATGAATAACTTAAGGAAAAACTGAAAAACATGAAAAAACTTGTATATACATTATACTGCTTGTAGAGATTAGGCAGCTTGTGAAGATTTCGAATAGAGACCATAGAATGATTAAGTTTCCTTGATAGTTTGCATCTTTTTCCCCCTTTTGGCATTATCAAAAACTAACACACATATGTATAGTATACCATAACACAGCACCAACTAGTGGTTTAGTGTTAAGACCAGAAGCATGCATAGAGAGAAAACATTCACAAAGACTATAGGCAAAAGAAACATAGATTATAATCATCCAAAATCGATTTAAAACATCGGCCAAATGTATCAAATTTGCAAGATTACCAAAAGAAATTAAAAAGTGCCCAAAATATTACAGACCCAAAATAAAAATTGTTCCCAAAAGAAAATAAACAGAATGTTTCATCAACAAAGAAAAGCTGCAAGGAAAGTCAGGTTAAGATGCAGTGCTCTGGTCATCATCAACAACTAGATCCTCCAGCTTCTTGCTGATTTGAGACACTATGTCCTTTACAATGGACTGTCTCCCCTGTTCTGAGCTCTTGACCAGTTCCTTCACAACAGCATCTAGAGTGAGCACACTCTTCTTTAGTTCCTCCATCTGCACCTTTGATTGATCTTGTTCCTTCAGTAATTTCTGGAGCATCTCCTTAATCTCCTTGACATCCTCGCTGGGAACCTTAGGTGGGGAATTGAAGGCTGCAAAACATGTACCTGCAGATGCATACTTGCCCGAAATAGGAGAGCTTGTGACTTTCTGCAAATCCTCTTGCACCCCTGAGATATCAATGCAAATGGGGGAAGAGGTCTCCCTTTTCTCTATCAACCTCAAGCTCTTCCTTTTCTTCCTTCCCCCTCTCTCAGTAACTTCCTCAACCACCTTTTCCTCTTCCTCCTCCTGAATGTCTTGTACCACTCCCTCTATGATCCCAGTAGCTCTCTCTTCTTCCCCCTCAGCTTCAGCACCTACTTCCTTTGGCCTCTTATCTTTTTCTTCCAGCACAACCTCAAAACATCCATCTAAAACCTTCATCTTATGGTTTTCAAGGAAAATGAGCTGCATGTACTCGGTGTTTTTGAGGGGCAGGAGTTCTTTATCAATAAAGGAAATGCCAAAGCTTTCAAAGACATAGGTGAGAAGGTTACCATATCCCACCTTCCATCCTTTTGGAACACAGTGGGAAAGGTGTTGAATCATGATGGAGGGAAAGTTTATTTGGATCTTTTTGGCTAGGAAATAGATGAGAACAGAGTCAAGCTTGTTGCCACTGTCTCTCTTTTGGGTGCGAGGGATAATATCATTGAAAACAAATTTTAGCAGAATTTTGTCAAGAGGGGTTAGGTCATTGTGATTTATGTAGGTTTCCTCCGGGTCTCCACCTAGAAACTCCACTATCTCATCAATATTTGCATCAAGAAGAGGATTCCTTATCACATTACTCTAAAAATACAAGTCATATCCAGTATTAGGAACATCAAACAACTCAGCCAAATACATCGCATCAAACTCAATTTCTTTTTCATACACACAACAACGAATAACACCTTTAGAGTATTTGAAACTTTTGCAAAAAGCCCTCATAATTAAAGTATTCACTCAACAAATTCACCTAATTTTGAGCTTCAATCAAATCAAGTAGTTCATACAATTTAACAGACTTACACCAAGGAAGATTAATAGCCAAACCTGTCACAAAGTGATCACTGATCTTCTCTTGCCGTTTCATGGCTGCTGGCTTGTCACGGTAATTGACCCATAGTTCCGGAGCGCTTTCTTCTTCTTCTTGCATGTCATCGGACTTCCTTTTTCGAGAAGACTGGGATTCGGTAGTTGAATCCACTTTTGGAGGCTCTTGGTCATCAATGGGGTTAATTTCCGGTGGGATTTCCATGGTAATTTCTGGAATTGGGTTTGTGTTAAGGTCGGCTTCAATTTGGGTTTTTGAAGAGGTAGACATTGGAGAGTAGTTTTGATCGGAGTAATGAGAGAGAAGGTAATTTTTGTGTGGTGTAAATTTGTGTGAGGCTGACATCTTTTATGGTGGAGGTAAATTGGTGAAGTGAGGTGTCGCTTGGGAGGTGAGGTGAATTTAGTTGATTTGACACTCATATTTATTGCTTAGGGAAACGCAAACCGTGTTTCAAGAGAGTAGTGTAAGTGGGCTACTTTTTGAACAAAAGATAATGATGAAATTAGATGCATTCATTCGATTTATTTGAGTTTAGATAAAAAGAATTTGGAATTTTGAAAGATAGATAAACACAACAATTTTATCTTTTGTATATTATTAGTAAAGAACACTTGCAAATGCAACTTGATACACGGAACAAATCAACAAGGCTCATGCAACCAATTTTGGACTTTTCATATTCTATGTCTTGCAAATTTACAGGCCCTTAGTAAATATTACTCCTGCTTACAACCTGTCTTAACTATGTAATTAAACATATAACACTTGTGCACAGTATACAACAGATTAAGCTTGTCAGTTTGAGCTTCATACCTGAGGGAACTTGATGCATTTTTCTCAGTATAACTTAATCATCCCAAGTTCCATTCTCATTTTCTCATGCCTTTCTCTATTCAAGGGTTTTGTTAATATATCTGCAATTTGATTGTCAGTTGGGCAGAAATCTTATTTAATCAAACCCTTTTCAACATTATCCTTAAGGAAATGATGCCTTATATGAATATGCTTAACTCTTGAATGATGGACTTGATCATTAGATATGCAAATTGCACTAGTGTTATCACAGTAGATAGTAATGCAATTAAATTTAATATCAAAGTCACGCAACTGTTGTTTAATCCAGAGGACTTGAGAGAAACAAGCAGCTGCTGCTACATACTCAACCTCTGCAGTAGACAATGCAACAGTATTTTGTTTCTTGGAACCCCAAGAAACTAGACAAGAGCCAAGGAACTGAACCATACCTGAGGTGCTTTTTCTATTGACTAGGTCACCTGCATAGTCAGCATCTGTGAATCCTTTAAGCATAAAGTCATCACTTCTAGGATAGAACAGACACAGGTCATCTGATCCTTTGAGGTATCTAAAAATTCTCTTAACAACCATTAGATGTGATTCTTTAGGATTAGACTGAAATCTAGCACACAATCCAACACTAAAAGAAATGTCAGGCCTACTGGCTGTTAGATACAGCAATGAACCAATCATACCTCTGTAAGTGGTTTGATCCACACTTTTTCCTTGTGGATCCTCATCAAGTCTTGTTGATGTTCCCATAGGTGTATGATTTGTCTTGGCATTCTCCATGTTGTACTTCTTCAGAAGTTCCTTGACATACTTTTGTTGGTGAATCATTATTCCTTCAGTTGTTTGCTTTATTTGAAGTCCAAGGAAGAAATTTAATTCACCCATCATGCTCATCTCAAATTCACCACCCATTAGCTCAGCAAAGTACTTGCACAAACCATTGTTAGTAGCACCAAATATAATATCATCTACATAGATCTGCACAACTAACAAATCAGTTCCTCGAGATTTAAGAAAAAGAGTTTTGTCTACTTTTCCTCTTTTGAAATCATTTTTCAGTAGGAACTTTGAAAGCCTTTCATACCAGGCTCTTGGAGCTTGGTTAAGCCCGTAGAGAGCTTTATCAAGCTTAAAAACATGATTTGGAAATTTAGGATTTTCGAAACCTGGAGGTTGTTCAACAAACACCTCCTCATTTAAGAAACCATTTAGAAAAGCACATTTCACATCCATTTGATAGAGTTTGAAACCCATAAAAGAAGCAAAAGCCACTAGGATTCTAATAGCTTCTAATCTAGCTACAAGAGCAAAGGTTTCATCGAAATCAATACCTTCCTGTTGGTTGTAGCCCTTCACAACCAATCTAACCTTGTTCCTTACTATGGTTCCATGTTCATCAAGCTTGTTCCTAAACACCCATTTGAGCCCAATTACTTTATTTCCCTTAGGCTCTGGTTCAAGGTGCCAGACCTTGTTCCTTTCGAACTCATTGAGTTCCTCTTGTATGGCCACTATCCAATCAGCATCTCCCGAGGCTTCTTGATGATTTCTTGGTTCTAGAATGGACAGAAATGCATGGAATGCGCAGTAGTTCCTCATCTGTGATCTTGTTTGAGTTCCTTTTCTTATATCACTGATAATTAGATCAGTTGGATGGGAACCTCGATACCTGAATGGCCTGGGTTGGAATTCCCTTGCTGGAACTCCAATTTGAGGAGCTTCTGTTTCTGTTCCTTCTGCTTCTTCTGCTTGTTCCTCGTTCACCTGTTCATCTGGTTGAGGAACCTCTCCATTTTCTTGATGATCCTCTTCTAGAGCAGGCTGCTTTTCTTTGGTTTGCTTTAGGGTCTCTTCTTCATCCCTGTCTCTTATCAATCCAATTTCAAAATCATTATCATCTTCTTTTTCCTGTACACTCACAAACTGGTTAACTGCATCAAAGATTATATGAATGCTTTCCTCAACACACATTGAGCTTTTATTGTAAACTCTATAAGCTTTGCTATCAGAGGCATATCCTAGAAATATGGCCTCTTCACTTCTTTCATCAAATTTCCCTAGGTTTTTCTTACCATTGTTATGTACAAAGCACTTACATCCAAAGGCTCTAAGATGAGATATGTTTGGCTTTCTTCCCTTGAATAGTTCATAGGGAGTCTTGTTGATGATACTTCTGATTGTTACCCTGTTAAGGATGTAACATGCTGTATTCACGGCTTCAGCCCAGAAGTTCCTTGGCAATCCACTTGCAATCAGCATCGTTCTAGCCATTTCCTCAAGGGTTCGATTCTTCCTTTCTACAACTCCATTCTGTTGGGGAGTCCTTGGAGCTGAGAAGTTATGAGCCATGCCATTTTCCCTGCAAAAACTCATCGAATCTTGAGTTCTCAAATTCAGTTCCGTGATCTGATCTGAGATGGACTATGGAGTGACCACTGATTTTCTGTATTTTCTTGGAAAAAACAACAAACTCGTTAAAAGTTTCATCTTTACTAGCAAGAAAAAATAACCCAAGTGAATCTAGAATAATCATCAACAATAACCAAAACATATTTCTTGCCACTCCTGCTTTGAATTCTCATGGTACCACACAAATCCATTTAAAAGATGAGCGAACATGCTTGCCTTTCACACATGCATCACAAACTTTGTTCTGTAGGAGCTTGATAATAGGAAGTCCCACAACCAAGTTCCTTGACCTTAGCTTGTCCAGTAATGAAAAGCTAGCATGTCCAAAACGTTTATGCCATAGCAGGGGATCATCTTCAACAACACTCAGACATGTAATGTTGTTCCTTGGGATTAAGTTTAGGTCAACTGTATAAGTGTTCCCTCTTCTAGTTCTTTCTAGAACAACCTTTCCTGACTTGTTGTTGATGATGTTGCAAAAGTCAGAAGTAAAACTTACAGAATTTCCTTTGTCACAGAATTGTGATATACTGAGCAAATTGTGCATTAAGCCCTCGATCAGGAACACATTATCACTGGAATGAGATTTTGATCTACCAATTTTGCCTTTTCCAATGATCTCGCCCTTCTTATTATCCCCAAAGGTTACTGTTCCTCCAGGGTAGTCTTCTAGTGAGAGGAATTTTTATTTATCACTTGTCATATGCTTTGAACAACCGCTGTCGAGATACCACGAGTTGTTCCCCCTCACTAGGACCTGCAAGAAAACTAAGCATTAGGATCAGGAACCCAGGTTTCCATGGGTTCCTTAGACGTGGATGCAATATCAGTTTTCTTGACCCACACTTGTTTTACATTTCTTTTATCAGCTTCTTCTCTTATCCTACACTGTCCATAGAGATGTCCAGTCTTACCACAAAAAGTGCATACCTTCATGCTAGGAAGCTCAACATATTTCTTTTGCTTACCTTTCTTGGTCATATAACCAAGACCTTTAGTTCTTTTTCCTTGAGCTTCAGCTATCCACTTAGGTATGACTTTTGGGTCAATACTTCTATCCTTTCTAGCATTCAGTTTAGATTCAAGTTGATCCTTTTGGGTTTTTAAAGTAGAAAGCTCAATTTTAAAATTTTCAAAATCAACATTGAATTTAACCAATTGATCGCTTGAGGAACTGCTAGAACTGATATCAGAATTCATGAGCTTATACTGAGTTAGTTCAACATTCAGAAGAATACTTTCATTCTTAATTCTATCAGCTATCTCAGTTATGTGTTTGTATTTAAAATCAAGTTCTCTTAGTTTGCTTTGAGACTTGGTATAGGTTGTTTCCAACCAAGCACCATGTTCTTTGGAAACCTTAAGAGCTTTTTTACATTTATTCAATTTTACACATGTATCTCTAAAGAATTCTTCTTCTTCTAGACATATATCTATCAAGACATCTTTAGAGAGAGTTTTAAGCTGCTTAGGATCAAGAAATACCTCTTTATGAAGTTCCTCAAGGTAAGCCTTTTCATCATCTGATTTGGCCATTAAACATAGATTGGTTGTTTCCTCTTCTGGTTGGTCATCATCTTCTTCTTCACTTTCTGAGTCTCCCCAGGCTGCTATCATGACCTTCCTCATGTCTGACTTTTGATAGTTTGCTTTGCTGAATTTTTCTCTTCCCTGTTCCTTAGCCTTTCCTTTCCCTTTATCATTTTCCCAAAGGGGACAATCTTTGATAAAGTGATCTGGAGATCCACAATTGTGGCAGTTGTAGTCAGGCTTTGGATTTGAGGTCTTTTTCCCGAAGTTTCTTGAGGTTCGGCCTTTCTTGAACATCTTTTTAAATCTTCGCACAATTAGGGCAGCCTCATCCTCGTCCACTTCTGAGTCTTCCTCCTCATCAGCCTTAAGAGCCAAACCCTTGTTTCTCATGGGTTCATTGTTGACTCCAAGGTGTAGCTCATGAGTCATGAGATAGCCTCCTAGCTGTTCAATATTGAACTTGGTAAAGTCCTTCGTTTCCTGAAGGGCTGTCACCTTAGCTCTCCACCTCTCATCTTGTGGAAGACTTCTAAGAACCTTCCTAACCTTCTCATCTGTAGGAATCTATCTTCCAAGGGAAAACCAACTCATTTATGATGTTTTTAAAACGGGTTAGCATCTCTTGAATGGTTTCCTTAGGCTGCATTTCAAATCTTTCATACTTAGACATAAGTAGATCGATTTTTGAGCGTTTAACCTCATTAGTTCCTTCATGATTAATCTGCAGCAAATCCCAGATTTCCTTAGCGTTCTTGCACCCCATAACACGATTGTGTTCGTGAGGTCGAAGTCCACAGTGGAGCAATTTCACAGCCATAGCATTTATTTCCATTTTATCAAAGTCTTCTTTTTCATATTCAGACATAGGCTTAGGGATTACCTCGTTCTGAGCATTTGTTTTGGTGACTTCGAAATCACCAACCTCGATGACCCTCCAGACTTGGTAGTTCTCTGCCTTGATAAAGATCTCCATGCGGTTCTTCTAGTAGGTATAGAACTTTTCGTTGAAAATAGGAGGCCTCTGTGTTGAGTATCCATCCTCGAGCTTCTCATGAGTATTCATTTTCTCCAAGACCTTTCTTCTGCAGGGTTTCCTGATTTTCCTAGAAGTTAGGCTCTGATACCAATTGTTGTTTTAATGAATACTACAAGAAGGGGGGGTTAAATTGTAGCATGAGAATTTAGCCAAACTTTTTGCGGAATTAAAATTAAGTTAGCTAAAGGAACTGAGAGATTAACTAAAGGAACCAAAGAATGCAAGAGAGATTTTACGTGGAAAACTCCTTGGCCTTAACAACGAGAAAAACCTCGACCACTTGGGATTTTGGGAAACGAATCTTCACTATAATAGGGAAAATGATCCTATTACAAGCTAAAGACTCAAACTCAAGTTCCTCTACGAACTTGAGACCCTGAGGAACAAGTCACCCAACTTGTTACTCTTCTCTTCTCTTTCTCTCTTCTCACTTCTCTGTTCTCTCTTCTCTTTCTCTTCTCTCTCTTTATCATACACAAACGTTCACTCGAACTTCCCCATTCCCCACTTACAACTCGAAAGAAAAACAGACTCTAGTATAAGAACATTAAGAACACTCTAAAGAACTTGTGTGGAATTGACACTTGACTCGTTTTGAAGCTTGAAAACTTATGTGAGAAAGGGTGAGTTTTTCCAACCGAAATCAATGGCTATTTATAGATCAACAAATGCTTTGGAAAATTCTCTTTGTGCAGCAACACCATTACGCCACTACTCATACCCACTAAGAAGATCATGTTCCTAGAATTAAGGAACCATGAACTCCTCAATGTGCAAAACCATGACTGACATAGAACATGGGAGAGTAAGTCGTAAGTTTTGGAAAACATGGTGATTTTATTTTTTCATAAGATATTTTCGAAAATAAGAAAATAAAATAAAATCTTTTTGCATAAGATATTTTCAAATTTCAGAATAAAATAAAATCCCTTTCAAAAGATAAACGTTTTAGAAAGCAACCGTTTTCCTAAAAACTAGCATGCACAATTTTATCTTTTTACACCAATTCCACATAGATTTTTCGAGTGCCATTTAATATCTTATACTTACATAAATCCTAAAATATAAAAATATATTTAGTCTTCATGTTCTCTGATGAAGCTTCTACTCCGAGGCTTTTGTTCCTTGGGAGGAACTTCTCTTCTCTAATGAGGCTTCTTCTCTGAAGCTTCTGTTCACTGAGAGAACCTTCTCTTCTCCAGTCTTCATTTCTAAAGTGCCAGTTCCTTTGAGGGAACTCTTCTATATGGTTAGCTCTGCTTCTGGCCTTCTTGTTCCTCATGGTATATTTACAAGACACTTCATTCTCCTAGTCTTTATAACTGAGTACACACTTAAAAAATCAAGGACTTATTAGTTTGTAAGTAAGTGAGGTTGTGTCATCATCAAAATCATTAAGTCCAACAGTTTGCAAGGTACTCTTTGATTTTTTTGAAAGCTTTTTGGCAATCACCATACCATGTAACTGGAACATTTTTCTTAAGCTTCTTGAATAAAGGTTCACATATCGTCGTGAGTTTTGATATGAACCTACTTATATATTGCAGTATTCCAATGAAGCCTCAAATTTCTTTCTCAATCTTGGGTGGTGGCATGATTGCTTTGACTTTTGTGGGATCACATATCAAAGTAGTTTGCCTGACGTAACTCCTAATGCACACTTTGTTGGATTCAATCTCATGTTGTACTTGCAGAGTCTTTCGAAGAACTTGCGAAGTGCAATGATGTGGCCTGGACGATCCTTTGACTTGACGATCATATCATCAACGTAGACCTCCACCTCTTTGTGCATCATATCATGTAACAATGATGTGGCCGCTCTTTGGTAGGTGGCACCCACGTTTTTCAACCCGAATGGCATTACCGTGTAATAATATGTACCCCATTGCGTGATGACAGTGGTTTTCTCCATGTCTTCCCCGGCCATTAATACTTGATTATTTTCGGTGTAGCCGTCCTTGAATGATAAGAGTGTATGGTTTGCTGTGTTATTGACCAGAATGTCAATGTGAGGTAGAGGGAACGTATCTTTCGGGCTTGCCTTATTGAGGCCCCTGTAATCAACACACATTCTAACCCTTCCATCCTTCTTCGGAACTGGAACCACATTTGCTATCCATTGTAGATACTTGGATACTTTGATGAAACCTGTAGCCAATTGCTTTCTGATTTCTTCCTTGATTTTGAGAGCCACATCCGGTTTCATACGGCGTAGCTTTTGTTTGACAGGCTTCGTACCTGGAATGAGCGGTATTGTATGCTAAGCTATGTCCCTGTCAATTCCTGACATATCTTGGTATGACCAAGCAAATACATCAACAAATTCACTATGTAAGTTAATTAGCTCTTTGCATTCGTCTTGACTTAGTTTTAATCCAATTTTCACTTCTTTTATAGTCGTCTCATTGGAAATGTTAACTGTTCTTGTATCTTTGATAATCGCTATTTTATTTTCGTGTTCTTCCATTGCTTTTATTATTTCTTTGTCATTTTTATCATTAGCAAAGAAATATTGATCAGTGTAGGGAATATTTGAAGCATTACCCCAAACTTGAACCTCACTGTGATCATACACTAAAAATGGTGGCATCCAAAGGGAAGGAAGCTAGAGCAAAAGAGTCGCCAACAAGTTTTAGGAACTTGTAAACCGTTCACATGGTGAAAGATACACCTCTTAACGATCCAAGAGATCGTTAACTCCAATAGGTCTGGAACCAAGATTGGAAGTTCGGGGATGAAGGTACAAATCCAACCTAAAAGACATTGAACCTGCCCTAATAATAGGCCTCTACTTTATTCTGGTTGTATTCATGTACGCTTTCTGACTAACATGAAATCATTAGGTTAACCCTAAACCTTTTTAATCAATGTTGGTTGAATATTAATGCACAAAAAAACTATTATTGGCGATCACTTGAATTATAATCATATTAACCTTAAACAAGATTATTAATTATCTTTTTAAGCGTGATTTCAAGTACAAATTCCCTTTAAACATAAATATATATATATATCAAGCAACTTAATAATCATAATCATAAAAATATAATCATGTTAAAGCATAATAATAGCAAGATCTTAGGCATGATACTAACAAGATTAATAACAAACCCTAGCATGTCACTAAACATCAAACATCAAATATTTAGCCCTAACATGATACTAACATGCCATTAAGAAAGAGAATAGGAAGCATCATAGAAATCATAATAAATATATTTGATATTATAACCTTTACCCTAAACATGATATTAGGAAGATCAAAGCATCCTAACATGATACCAGGAATAAAAATAGCAGGCTAGACATGATTTATTTATCACAATATCAATAAAAAAATTAAAGCACTTACTTGGATGCCTCGTATCTCTTTCTAATAACAAAATACGCACATTAGAAACTTCAAGGAAAATATAAAATCAAAACAATTAAATTAAATTAAATAATTGAAAGAGAGATTAAGAAAGTTTAGACTAGATTTGGGACCAAACCCTCAGAAATTAAACCTTTCACGTCTAGGGCGAAGGCAACTTCGAACTTGGCTAGGTGTGTCTAGATCTCAAGAATTTTGTTTGAAAAAAGCTAGTTTAGAAAAGTGAGAGAAAGAAGATATCAAAAATTTCTTGATGAGAGTTGATGATAATTGGTGATTGTAAACGGAGGTTTTAAGAGGCTATTTATAGAGTAAATCAGCTGGATATGATAAAAAAACGAATCAGAGTTTTGAAAAGAAAAAAACACGACAATGTCGCCAACAACGCGCCTGTCGCCAGACGTGTCGCCAGAAACCACGTCTGTCGCCAAGCGACAGACATGTCGTACGGCACTGCAATTAGTTTTCCACGCGTTCTCTTATTTTGATAAAATTTAAGCATACGAGAGGGTAAAACTGTAATTTCCTTAAAAAAACTTCTTTTATTCTAATTAAAACTCATAAAAGTCAATTTATCGATGCTAATCAAATTAGGATTCAAAAGAACCTTCTAAAACATTCTAGAAGACTATAATCAATCCTAAACATATAAGGAATGATAAATCATAATAGGCCCTCCTCTAGATCATTGGGCAACATATAGAAATCAAACCGGGCCTAGTTTAGTAATTTGGCCATAAGTTCCTCATTTTTCATCGGAATTGGGCTTTGAATATATCGTTGGAAAGCTCTTTTGGAACCCGACCCAAATACACAATTATTAGCCTCTTGCCATGGATTAAACCAAACGAAATTAGATTTTTTCTCAAAATAGGTTTTCAAAAACAAGGAGAAAGAAAAGAATTAAAAACAAACCGCATCACTAGACTTTCCACACTTTCACTTCATTCGATTTATGATTCAACGTGAAAGGTACTTATCACTGGGTTTGGTTTTGGGGAGACACAAATGGGTGTCTACAGAAGCCCCCACTTTGACAGAGTTTGGAGAAACGTAAGTTTCAAAAACAAAAGTCAAAGTAACGAACGATAGGGACGGAGAATGTTTCTGAATGTTCTGCGATCCTAAATTATTCTTGTAACGCTGATACCTGCATACTAGCATTAGTTAAAACAGATAAAAGAGTTAAGAAACGCGTATCTTGCACCTTCAAGCACACGTCTCTGTGGGTAACCGATTTGTGTTGCTTTGTTGTTGTGACAACCTTCCACAAGCTAGGGAACGTTATCCTGCTGCTTTTGACAATCTTCCTCAAGCTAGGGGATACCGGATGAAATAATCTTATCGAAGAGAATCCTATCGAAGAGTGCTTCGTTTGAAATAATCTTCATTTTCCTTGTGACCATCTTCCGCAAGCTAGGGAATATAATTGAAAATAACTTCGCCTGAAGCCATCCTCAGTTGTTGCGATACTTTGGGTGAGGACAATCCTCTTTTCTTTGGGAATAGTTGCCAACATAACTCTTGTTTGATGTATGACAATCCGATTTAGGGGAAGTTGTCA